CCTGAAATTGTATATAAACATGTGTGCATGTCTTTCCTACAGCTTTCCTTTGAATCTCAAAAGTCTCCTTGACTCCTGAAATTAAGGACATTTTGTTGCTTTCTCATGGAACTTCTCCCTCTACCTAAATCTTAAGCTTCTTGTGGTACCATGATCTGCCTGACACTTGTTCTTTGTGGAGTACCTAATGGCAAAGTGGCTGCATGTAGAGATTGCTGAGTTCCATGCTTCCCAAACCAAGTGGTAGTAGTTTGTCTTCAAATTTAAAGGTGTTCTTCAAATTTAAATAATATATGAATGTCTTTTAAAAGAAAAAAAATCTATACCCACAATACTGACTTAAATTGTTTTTATTTTAATGATACTTTTTTGCTTTATTTATTTATTTTTTTGAGATGAGGCTGTGTTGCCCAGGCTGTTCACAAACTCCTGGCTTCAAGTGGTCCTCCCACCTCAGCCTTCTGAGTAGCTAGGATTACAGACACGAGCCATCACACCTGACTGCCTAATGCTACTTTGTTTACAAAGAAAAAAGTCAGGTATTAACTTGTGTATTTAACAACTTTTCTGCTAAAACAATTTAAAACAAATATAACATAATTGCAAAAAAGGAGCATGTAAAGTAACAATGTGAGTTTAATATTGCACATTAATGATGATACTTCGCTGAAACTAAATCACCCTTTACAATGTGAATATACTATTGACTGCTCTGGCAGAGGCTTTGTTTATTTTATTTTATATTTTTGAATTGTTATATTTATCATAGGTAATCTCAATTCTTCTATAACTTTTCTGATACAAAGCCTTTAGCGACAATTCCACAATACTCCTTAATATCATTTGGTCCTCACTTCATTTGTGTATTAGACCTCTGATCTTTTCTCATTAGCTCAGGGAAATTGAAGCAGTAATACTTAGCCAACTTGATTATTAGTACTTACGAAATATGACACTGAAATCATGGGGCAGTCTGAAATTAAAGGATAGTAATCATACATTTCCTATTTTGTAAGACTGTTAATGACATGGCAACATAATTTTTTTTAATGTAGTAAGTATTCATATATCCCTGAAATTTATTTTTCAGATTACAGTTCGAAGAAAACTGACATAGAATATACTATGAGTAAGAATTGATGCAAATTACTTTTAGTGAATTAACTGCATGAACCTAAGCTTTGCATTTTTTGGTATTTGGCTTTGGCTGTTTTAAACTCAGCCTTGGTTTAGCTGTCTTATCTGCTACAGGTAAACTAACCTGGCAGCAAAGGAGGAATTCAAAGGGTGGTATGACAGAGAATGTTGGCAAACCACAAGTTCTGATAAGTAAAAAGGTCTCTGCCATCAGTGGCAACATGGGACTACCCTGGGTGATTCTATAATTTCTGTAAATATGTTTCCCAAAGACATATGCATTTGAAAGCAATAACTGCTATAGTTAGGATTATCTCCACAGCATTTTTTTCAGGAGGGGAGGCTGTCTTCCAATCTAGTTCTGCCACTTTGTAGCTGTATGACTTTGCCTCTGCTAAAGAGGGATGGTGGAAATAGGACCCTTCTGAGGATTTTGTGACAGAGTATATCAAATGTGCTTTTCACAGTCCTTGGATTACGCTTGGCACAAGTGGATATTTGCTGACTCCCAATACCACTAACAGTACTACAAGAAGAATATTCCCAGTAACGACTCTTCAAATTCATTTCACATACAGAGAAGAGAAGTAAAGGTCTGAAATAGGCATTCCCATTTCTCAACTTGCAGTTAGTCATTAGATTTTGATACTCTGTGGTATGATGTTTTTAGTGTAGACAGTGGTGTATTATCATTAGCTTGTTTATGACAGGAATTACCACCTTCTAGGGTACCTATGGAGGCCAAGTATATTGGAACCTTGCAACCTCATAACTACCCTCTGAATCTGCCCTTTTCCAGCCTGGTTATCCCTCCTTTAAATTCCCTCAGCTGTCATTCTTGTCTGTCCTTTCTTCCCTTTCTGTCCTGGGAAACTCTAAGGGAAGCTTAGTCAGCTCAGTACTTAGTGTGCCACTTAATGCCAAAGCAGTTGTAGCTACATTTGCCGCCACTGTTCTAACTTTGTGCTCCTCAGTTGTCAGATGCTTCTCCATAGACACTTCCCCTGCCCCCAGTCTTTAGTGCTAAGGTTAGGTCGTGTTATCTCCATTGAACTGATGTGAATAACAAGGCCCAGAATGATTGTTTAACCTGCGCAGGGTCTCAATGCTAGTAACTGACAGAGGATCCAAACTCCAGTCTTTATCACTCCCTTAACTATTCCCCTATTTTCTTGTCTTTTTGTTATTATGCTTTCAAAATGAGAAAGTGTGAATTTGTGTGGAGCAGGGTCATGTGTTTTGAATGGACTGTATCAATGGGAACATATTTATAACAGTCTAATTCCTGGCTTTGCCATGTAATAGCTGAATGATCTTATATAAGTTATTTAACATCTCTGGTCCTTACTGTCTTCACCTGTACGATGGAGATAGTCATATTGGCACGCTTATCATGGGTTATTACAAAGATTAAATGAAGTGATATTTGTAAATGCGCCTTAAACAGTTTCTGATGAATGTTAACCTTTATGTGGGTTTGTTAAATAACAGCAAAAATGTCTTCAAATTATAAAGCAATGAAAAAGTCTTTTTAAGATTTCTTTTCCCAGAATCCTCTTTTTCTTAGGTAACCTTCAGTGCTGAGCTCCTTATGTGGCCCAAATCCTTGCTTTTAGAAAATCCTAAGACTGATGTCTGGGACCTTGCTTATATTGCTCTTTATCATTAGCAGTATCTTCTGTGCTACTCAGAAGCTCTTGTGCCCACTTCTTAATTACTCAGCCCTTTCTTCTGGATCCCCTCTCTCCTCCTCACGACAGTGTGGCTTTAACTAAGTTTCCCACTGCTTTCTTTCTCTCTAATCACTCAGCAAAGGACAAATTCCAGTAAACTTTCACTCATTGGTGGTGGAAGGACAAGAATCTAGGCTTTTGCCATGGGAAACACAGTCAGGCACTCATGTTATTTTAAAACACTGATGGTACTTTACTGTTTAATAAATATTTGTGCCCCTACTGTATGTCAAGCACTGTATGTTTAGGTGTGAAAAATATTGGGGAGGTACAGTGAACAGGACAGACATGGCCCCTTCTAAACTTCGTAAGTACTCATCCAAATTAGGATAACAAAATCCCTCTCACCAGAAGGGCTAAGGGGTGCCTCAGTGCAGGTTCATATGTACTACTTCATTTATTGCACTACCAGACTGTCTCCCCGTCTTTGAATCTCTGGTAACTAAACGTATATGGCACCTAGTAGGCATGGAACAAATGTTAGTGGTCTAATAGATCAGGCATTTATTTTGATGCATAGTAGGATAACATTTTCTTCCCCTTTTGCTGACCACTTTCTGTCCAACACTTAGTAATCCTCCTCTCCTCACTGATTTGTTATGTCTCATTATATTTAATATATATTCTTTCCGGTTTTGTTATCTGTATTTTCTTCAGCTATTATTACACTATTTTTAACAAGGGTAGACATGCGTTTCTATATTTGCCCTTCTTTTACAGGTTTTTATGTGATATGCTCATGTCATTTTTTTCAACTATTCATTTTTTTTTCTAGATAAGTGTTAGAGTCATGGTTGAGGTTCTCCCTCCATGCTGTATTTCCCTAAGGCACATATTAAAACTATACATTTCGTTTAGGAGAAAGTATCATCCGGTGGCATCTAATTTTTCTTCTATGAACATTTTTTATATTGAGTCTAATGACATTGGTATTAGTCTCTCTCTATAAAGTTTTTGTTTTCCTTGTAGTTAACCCATATTTTTATTATGATTTTACCTTGAGGGCATTTTTATTCTAGTTTTGTTTCTATGTTAATAGTTTCTTCTTTTATATCACCTTTTCTTTTTGTCATTGGTAACAAAACTGGAATTTTATGTGTTTCTGTGGGATCTGTTCAGGGCATTTAACTTTTATATTTATATTAATTCCAATAGTTTTTCAATTGAGTCTGTTTGGCTTTCTAGATATAAAATTATGTACAAATAATGATAATTTTTCCTTTTTCAATATTTTTACCTATTTTTGAACTTCCATATTACATTGAATCTTATTCCAAATCATCATTACATAATGATTATGGTAGATGTTTTTTTCTTATAATGTTTTTAATGCCTTATTAAGATAAATCTAGATTGTTACTGTAAAATATGCTTTCTAGTATAAGAAATATTAAAATTTAAAATGCCATATAACTTAAAATTTGGTTTTAGTTATATGGTAATTTTGTCACCAAGTGCCTCGTTCATATTTAAGTGAAAGCTTCTTGCTATCGAGAAAGAGAAAATGGCTTCAAGATAAGAAAAAAATTGCCTGAATTTAATGGACTTACAACTTTTAAACAGAAGAATACTGTCTAATTGGCTTTACAATGGTAATGATTGTGTTATATTCATGAGTTTAAAGAGGAGTTGGGCAAAGGCCAACCAGGATATCTGTTGAAAACCCAGGAGGACCTTCACCCTGGGAGCAGGGCCAAATCTGAGATATACCAAATTACACCTAAACCGTAACCAGCCTAGACTCAGCTCAGCCATGATTGCACTAAGGTCACTAAGGTGATTAATTCTCTATCTGCCTATGTGAGGAAGAGTAACACACTCTTGTAGAAAATAACATCCTTTAGAACATGTATTCTCAGTAGGCACAAGATTGGCTCTTCTGATGTGAAACAAATATTAAATGTTACAGTGATTTGTGGATCTTCAAACACCTACAACATATAAACCAATACAACTGCCAAGTTGGGGGAAATTAGTAACAAAAAGCCTAATAAAGTTCTGTATGGGGATAATAGTGAAAAATAAAGGTCGGGGAACACTAATTTAGAGCCTTTTCAGTTTTTTAGTACAATACCTGATAATTAAAAGTTACAGACATTCTAAAAGACAAGAACATGTGACCAAAAGACAGTAGACAGACCAGATAATGTACAGTTGCAATTTTGCTCCATAGATTGGAGTTAGAACATATGGACTTAAAGTGACATAATTACTGTTAACTTATGTTAATAAGTTGATTAAACACAATAGAAGGCAGGATTAGCAAACAGGAAGACAGGTTAATAGAAAATAACCTGTCTGGACCAAACTGAACTAGAGAGGAAATAATATATAAATGTATTCCACTTGCAACCTGTTTGCAAATTACCATCTTTGCCCATATCCTTGCTAAAAATATGTATTTTAATATAGTTTATATTTTGCCAATTTCTGTGTAAAGTGATATCCCATTGTTAATTTAATTCCATTTCTCTCACAACATTTTACCTTTTTATTGTATTTTGCTAGTTAGGTGTTCTTTCCTGAGAAACATCAATTCATATATTTGCCATTATGTCTCTGCTGTCATTTGTATCAATTTGTAATTTTTTTTCTGAGATAGTAACCTTTTGTCATTTCTGTTACAGATAAATTTTCTAAATCTACACATAAAACATTTGTGATTGCCGGGCGCGGTGGCTCACGCCTGTAATCCCAGCACTTTGGGAGGCCGAGGCGGGTGGATCACGAGGTCAAGAGATCGAGACCATCCTGGTCAACATGGTGAAACCCCGTCTCTACTAAAAACTACAAAAAATTGGCTGGGCATGGTGGCATGTGCCTGTAATCCCAGCGACTCAGGAGGCTGAGGAAGGAGAATTGCCTGAACCCAGGAGGCGGAGGTTGCGGTGAGCTGAGATCGCGCCATTGCACTCCAGCCTGGGTAACAAGAGTGAAACTCCGTCTCAAAAAAAAAACAAAAAAAAAACAAACAAAAAAAACATTTGTGATTAATATACTGTTTTATTTTACAACAAAGAAATCTGGATTTATTTGTATACAGGATACCTCAGAGATATTGCTGGGATTTTTATTTCCCACAGACCACTGCTGTAAAGTGACTACAATAAAATGAATATGATAATAAAGCAGCACACAGCTTTTTTTTTTTATTTCCCAGTGCATATAAAAGTTATGTGTATGCTCTACTGTAGTTTATTAAGTGTGCAGTAGCATTCTGTCTATAAAAACAGTGTACGTTAGCTAGGCTGTGGTGGCACATACCTGTAGTCCCAGCTACACAGTAGGCTCAGGCAGGAGGATAGCTCGAGCCTAGGAGTACCAGGCTGCAGTGAGCTATGATCACGCTCCTACACTCCAGTCTAAGCAACAGAGCAAGACCTCTCATAAGTATATATAATTATCTACACACATATTTTAATTTTAAAATACTTTATTGGTAAAAAAAAAAATAATAATAAGATCCTCTGAGCCTTTAGCACGTCATAATCTCTTTGCTGGTGGAGGATCTTGCCTTGATGTTGATGGCTATTGATTCGTCAGGCTGGTGGTTACTGAAGGTTGGGGTGACTGTGGCAGTTTATTGAAATAATTTAACAATGACGTTGCCACACCAATGGACTCTTCCTTTCACAAAAGATTATCTGTAGGAGTCAATGCTGTTTGATAGCATTTTGTCCACAGTAGAAATTCTTTCAAAATTGGAGTCAATCTTTTCAACACTGCTATTGCTTTATCAACTAAGTTTATGTAATATTCTAAATCCTTTGGTTTTATTTCAACAATGTTCACAGCATCTTCATTAGAAGCAAATTCTACCTCAATAAATCACTTTCTTTCTCATCCATAACAAGCCACTCTTCATCCATTCAAGTTTTATCATGAGGTTATAACAACTCAGTCACATCTTCAGGTTCCATTTCTAAACCTAATTTTCTATTTCCACTACATCTGCAGTTCTTTTTTCCACTGAAGTCTTGAAACCCTCCCAGTCATCTGTTAGAGTTGGAATCAACTTCTTCCACACTTCTGTTAAGGTTACTATTTTGACCTCTTTTTATGACCTTTTTTTTTTTTTGAGACGGAGTTTCGCTCTTGTTACCCAGGCTGGAGTGCAATGGCGCGATCTCGGCTCACCGCAACCTCTGCCTCCTGGGTTCAGGCAATTCTCCTGCCTCAGCCTCCTGAGTCGCTGGGATTACAGGCACGTGCCACCATGCTCAGCTAATGTTTTGTATTTTTAGTAGAGATGGGGTTTCACCATGTTGACCAGGATGGTCTCGATCTCTTGACCTCGTGATCCACCCGCCTCGGCCTCCCAAAGTGCTGGGATTACAGGCTTGAGCCACCGTGCCCGGCTTATGACCTTTTTAGAAGGTTTTTAATGTACTTTGCCCAGTTACATTAGAGGAATCATTATGGCTGCCATAGCCTTAAGAAAAATATTCCTTAAATAACACAACTTGGAAGTCAGAATTACTCCTTAATCCATTGTTGCAGAGTGGATGTTTTGTTAGCAGGCATGGAAACAACATTAATCTCTTTGTACGTCTTCACCAGAGCTCTTGGGTGACAAGGTACATTGCCAAAGAGCAATAATACCTTGAGAGAAATCTTTTTCTCTGAGCACTAGGTCTCAACAGTGAGCCTAAAACAGTTCGTTAGCTGTGCTGTGAACAGATGTGCTGTCATTTAGGCTTTGTTGCTCTATTTATAGAGCACAGGCAGAGTAGATTTACCATAATTCTGAAGGGCCTTGGGATTTTCAGAATGATAAATGAGCATTGGCTTCAACTTAAAGTCACCAGCTGCATTCATTCCTAAAAAGTGAGTCAAGCCGTCCTTTGAAGCTTAGAAGTCAGGCATTGACTTATCCTCTCTAGCTATGAAAGTCCCAGAAGGCTGTATTGTCTGCATTGATAATCTGCTATTTAGTGTAGCTACATCTTCTGGGTAACTTGCTGCAGCTTCTATATCAGCATTTGCTGCTTCCCCTTGCACTTTTATGGTATGGACTTCTTTCCTTAAACCTGCTAGCTTCCATCTTCTGCAGCTTCCTCACCCTTCTTGGCTCCCATAGAATTGAAGATAGTTAAGCTTTGCTCTAGATTAAGCTTTGACTTAAGGAAATGTTGTAGCTGGTATAATCCTCTGTTCAGAACACGAAAACTTTCTCTGTATCAGCAAGAAGGCTGTTTTGTTTTCTTATCGTTTGTGTGGTCACTGGAATAGCACCTTTAATTTCCTTCAAGAACTTTTCCTTTGCATTTACAAGTTGGCTACTTGTTTGGTGCAGAAGGTCCAGCCTTCTATCTATCTTGGCTTTTGACATGCCTTCCTCATGAAACGTAATCATTTTTAACTTTTGATTAGAAATGAGAGATGTGTATCCCTTCCATTTTTACTTGAGTGCTTAGAAGCCATTGTGGGGTTACTAATTGGCCAAATCTGATGTTGTCATGTCTCAGGAAACAGAGATGCCCATGGAGAAGGAAAGAGATGGGGGAACGGCTGATTGATCAAACAGTCAGAACACATACAACAATTATCAATTAAGTTCATTCTTATATGGACACGGTTTGTGGTGCCCCAAGATGGTGACAATAGTAACATTAAAGATCATTGATCATAGATCACCATAAAAGATATAATAATAATGAAAGCATTCAAAATATTGGAAGAATTACCAAAATGTGACTTAGAGGCATGAAGTGAGCACATACTGTTGGAAAGATGGTCCTGATAGATTTGCTCTGTGCTGGGTTGCCACACACCTTCAGTTTGTTAAAAAATGCAATCTTCTGCAAAGCACAATAAAAATTGGTATGTCTGTTCTGAAAATTATACTGGAAGACTATATTAGATGATAAAAGATTAGCTTTTACAGCGTATTCTAAACAACATTGATAAGCATGTAGACATTATGTTCTTTATTCCAGACTGTCATACATGTTGGTATGTGCATGTGTCTTATAGTTACCTGAGGTAATTTAGCTTGTTGACAAAAGCTGTTGAGTACTCCCAGTTAGGTTTCTTCATGACCACTTTCTTGGTCTTGAATTAATTATGTCAGGTGACTTAATGCTTAAAAATTAATTAATATAACCATTGTCTGACTTGCAAATTAAAAAGCTATTTAGATATAATTAAATAGTTAATGGCTGTCATGCAGTGTGAAATATCACTCTGTTGATACTGGTATTATAATGTGGGTGAAAGTGAGAGAGAGTGAGCATGTTGTGCCCTTGCAGATCTAAAACTGTTTGATTATTGGCATATATGTGTACAAAAAATGTTTATTGATTTCTTCCTGTCATGATAAAGTAGCCATGATCGATGTCATGCTTCCAGCGTTTGAATAAAGGTAGTCGTGTCATGAATGATAGTATAACATAAGGATTACTTCTTTCATCTTTGGAGGCTGGCTTTCTTAGTCCTTTCAGGCAACTATAGCAAAATATATAAGTTGGGTGGCTTATAAACAGAAACTTATTTCTCACTTTCTGTTGACTGAGAAGTCCAAGATCAAGGTGTTGGAAGATTCTGGTGAGGACCTCTTTCCTGTTCATAGATGGCCATCTTCTTGCTGTGTCTTCTTCATATGGCTGTAGAAAGGAGGGCGACAGCAATCTGGGGCCTCTTTTATAAGGTACTGATGCCATTTATGAGGGTCCTGCTGCATATCATAATCACTTTCCCCTTCCAAGTACCATCATATGGGAGGTCAGGGTTTTGGTGAAGCACAAACATTCAACCACCTCGTCTAGCACTGGCCATCTTAGTTCTCCTCTTATCACCCCACTTAACCTTAGAAAACTTAAGTATCCTTTCTATGCCTTAATTTTCTTACCAGTGAAATGAGGCTGATGATAGTATGTATCTCACTCAATTAAAAGTGAAAATGCACATTGAGTGCTAGCCCAGAGCAATTGTTTATAAATGGAAGCTATGGTTAGTATTCCCAGTAAAAATGCATGTTCACATTGTGTTTAGCATACAGGGGATTGAATAAGACTCTGAGATAAAGGAATATTTAAAGGTGCTTCCCCATTTTAGAAAGTTGTTAATTTTTTTTTAAAGCAAACAATGCATGCAGGGAAGTTTCAGGAGCCTAAATAACTTCTGTTGTCATTATCCCATGTACTCTCTAGCCTACAGTTGAAATATAGTTATATAAAATTAAGATAGTAGCAAATGTCAAGAGACTCATTTGTTTAATGGAATTGCTTGGTGAATGCATTTCTCCAAGTTTTGTGTTTAAGCAAAAATTATTACTAATGGTACCTTAAACTTTTTAGTATTTATTTGAATAATTTTATTATCTCTTCTGAAACACTAAGATATCAATTACAGTCCTGGGAAATGTGTGCTTAGAGAAAAAACATGCTGTCTTTTCTCTGTGGTAGCATTCTGAAATGTTTTGAGGCTACACTTGATGAACGTGCCATTTTTTCCCCAAAGAATCAAAGTTGGAGCATGATAAATGATAGAAATTTCAAAATCATTATGCAGTAGCAAAGGTGTGTTTTATATTCACTGGTCTTCTCTTATGAGTCAATTTCAGTTTTGAAAGAATCCCAAGCATTCTTATAGTATTAATCTTGTGTTTGACATGGAGGTTGAGACTTTTTAAAGTACAGGTAACCCTCTTCCCATTCTTTGTTCTATTGATTTGTTAGAGTTGACGTGTAAAATTTCTAGTTTTAAAACATTTTGAGGGTATTTTCTGATTTTGTTATTTTCAAAAAATAGCTTACAATTCCTATTTCCTTCTGAATATTTTCGGTGCAGCTATTTGCTTTCTGCGTGGCCACATGAGTTGTGTTGCATTTGTTTCTAAAATGATGTGTTTAATTTTCCACCAGTACAGAAAGTTGGTCGTGAATTGCCTTATGTGATAAACCAATGGGTTTTTAAAGTTGCTTCAAAGGTCATTATCTTCTACTCTTTGCTGGTTGTTCTGAGTACTTCTAAAATAAAAATCTTCAAAGCCATCTTTAGGTGATATCCTTGCTTTCCATTATGAGAATGAAATTAAAAATGTTATTAAATTGGTAGTAACTTGGCTTTAAATTGAAACTCTATATTAGCATAATAGAAGGCACTAGAACTTCTTTCTAAATAAGACTTTCTTTGCAGAAAATAGATGCTTTATAAATGTCTCTTGACTTCTTTTTCTAGTATGTGTGTTTTGTGTAACTTCTGATGTCTCTTCTCCCTGTAGTTATAGTAACACATAGACTTATGCCTAGGTTTTTAAATTAGTTTCCTATTGCTGTATAATAATTTATGATAAACTTAATGGCTTAAAACACCCATTTATTACCTCACAGTTCTGTCAATCAGAAGCTTAGACAGACCTCATCTGGGTCCTCTTCCAAGCTCTCCTGGCTGTTGGCAGAATTAGTTCTCTTACAAGAGTAGAACTCATGGCGCTTCCATGTTCTTTGAGTTTGGCAGTTCTCTGATACTTCAGTGAAAGATGATTGACTGATAACCTAATCATGGGAGTCATAGCACATCCTTTCCACAGGCTCTGCCCACAGTCCACAAGACCATGGAGATTATACAGAGTGTCAGCCATTGAAGGGGGTCTTAGAATTCTGCCTGTCATATCCTGGGTTTTAAAATGGGGAAAGTCATTTAAGGAAGGAAGTAAATGAACATCTGTTGACTGGGTTGCTAATATAACAATGTATAGCTTCCATTTTATAAATGAGCAAAACTTAAATTTGCAAAGACTGATTGGCTCGAGATATGACTGACTTGCAGGGCTGAACAGACATTCTTAGAGGCAAAAGCTTCAATTGAGTGAGAGCCTGGTTTTTAGTTGTTTTTCCTAAGCAGTTCAAGTTTCAATGAACTCTTTTTTAGCAGTTCACATTCAGGGGTTGTTTAAAACCTATGAACATATTTTCCCAAGGAAATCATGCTATAAATGATAAGTTCCCAATTGGCTCGACAAAATCCAACTTCGCACATATTCTCAGAAAAAAATCATCTTCAGGGTCATCCAGAACCTCTTGGGCCCTAATCCCTGTGCCCCAGGAAGGTAATTGAGGCCTTATGGCTGCCTTGTGTGGGGACAGCCCCTCAGAGATTAAAGTTACTATGACTCATCCAGAGATAAGGAGAAGCACGTACTGTGCCCTTAGCTGTCTCTGTGTCTGCTGGAGGTAGGTGAAGCCATTTGCTGCATCCACTCTGTTTTGGTAGGGAAAGCTTCCAACACTGAGCATTGGGATCGTATTTAATTTATCAATTAGGTAATTATGGTATATTCTATATACAGAATCTTACTGGCTGAATGATCTTTTATAGAGAATCATTATGTAGTGATAGTAGCTTTTTAAGTGGTGCCCATTAAACTTGCACAGCAGGTTATGTGCCAAACTATTTAACAAGCATCTTTATCCTTTGGCTAGTTTCCTCCACTATGTTCCTTTGAATCTGTATAAAGAGATGGCTTATAAGGTTTATATCAAACAGGTATTTATGCATTAGGTAAAAGGGTTTCAAAATAACGCAGCCTCCCTTTTTCTCTTCTTCCCATTTTGAGTTCTCTCACGTTCTTCTTGTCTTTAAAACGTGCTTGAGAAAAGAGGGAGAAACATGAACAATTCCCAGGGAATCCCCACAGGAAGGAGGAACCACTCTCAAACTGAAATTACTGAAGAGAAGCATCCTGCTGCTCATGACTGGAATACAGAGGAGCTGTGTGTGCCGAAGGTCAGACAGGTGATTGCGAAGGAAAAAAGTCAGAGGAAGGAATATCTCATTTTATTTTTCTTTAACTCTTTTTGTTGCTTTGGTATCTATTTTTATACCTCGGTGTCATGCTTTGTGACTTAGATGAAATTATTGAACTTCTTTATACCCTTATTGATGTTTCCCTAAATTTAGACCTTTTCTAATTCTAAATTTTACTTTCTTTTCATTCACTGCCTCAGGTAAAATAAATAAATAAATGAATTCTATTCCCTTTTGATCTTCATTTCAGGTTATTCAAAATGTATGGCTGACAGCCTTCAAAGGAATGATACAGGCATTGGATGTTTTATTCAGTATATTGCTGCTCTGCCCTTTTGTGCAGCTATTCAAATTGCTATGGAAGTGCCTGAAAGGTTGTCATGGATTTTGCCAACGGTAAATGACAAGCGGTAATATATATGGTGAATGTTCCAGGTGTATTGGAAATTACTGTTGCAGCTTCTATTTCATGGAAGTTTGTTTTTCACGTAACGCTCAAAGTTCAGTCTAAATTCTTTAGTCAGATAGATTTAGGTCTTACCTCACATGTAGTATGTGGAGTAAAAATAATTCGGAATGCAATTATGAGTTGGGAATGCATAAAAGCACAGAGGAACTTTTAAAACAGATTGTTTTTAATAATTCTGTGCCTTTGGGACAAATGACATTCTTTTTTTATGCCCTCCCCACTTTAGACGTCCACTTTCTTTTTCACTGGCTGTAGTGAAACTTTGGAAGATCGTTACCTTAGTGCCCCCTAATGAAATGTAAATAAAATGAATGATTACAGCTTGATTATGGTCTGGTATTTATGAGACTCCTGGTAACTTGCTGCATAAATTTAAGTATGTGAGTAAATTCTCTTAGGGACAGTCAATGTGAGAGTATTTTATTTTTCTTTATTTTTTATGATGTAGTAATTCTTTTCACCTCTGGATTCTTTATTGTTGTTTCTGCCCTAGAAGAAGTAGGACCACAGAAAATGAGTATATTTTTTCTGCATGACTTCTGTGGTCCCTGTAGGGTTTGGACCAGACCTGAGTTGCTGCCTGATCCTAACCTGTCAAAGGAACATTGAAATAAAGGGACATGGTTTGTTTTTTTTTTCTTCCTGTGCCCTATCCATCTCCCTACAAAGAAAAATATATGAACATTTCTCTCTCCTGCTTTTTCTTATAAAGCACATCAAATTTCAAGTCTGTACTTTTGTGGAAATCACAGTGTAATGGGTTACAGTCATCTCTGATTCTTCGAGGTTTTGAGTATTTTAAGCTTTCTACTTTGCCATCCAGATATTGAAAGCTAACCTCCCACACACTTTACTACTCAACACAGCTTCTCTGTGCAGCCTCTTCTTTCTAGAATTGTTATTATAGTGAAATATCCATATAATCCTCCTCTGACCTGCTAAGCATTTCCCCATGGCAGGAGACAGCCTTTTTTCCTAAAGTTTGCACACGTTGGCAAAGCCTGGTTGGGCAGCATATCCCGGACCCCACAGGAAAAGTAAGTTATTTTTAATTTAGATTTGAGATCACGGATATATTTTAATTCTTAATGTTGGGTCTCAAGAATTTCCCCTCTTTAGAGTCAGTAGCTGATGATATGAGGAGGCAGTATGAGACTGTAATTGGTAAAGATACATTAATACTCATTTAATAACCTCATGTGGCCCGGAGACTTTTTTAAAAATCTAATCTCTTTCCCCTGCAAAATACAAAGGAAAACAGAGTGTCTGGATGACAGAGTTCTTTTATAAAATGGACTGTCTCTCTTATGCACAAGCCAGGTGTCACAGGTTCTATTCCATCCCGCATACCCTGAGTATATAGAAGGAGTGGGTGACCAAGGAGGCTGGTGGCTTAAAAACTTAAACAGGCTGAGGGACTAATTTCCCAAGTTGGCCGAGCAGATAGAAAAGGAAAGGCAAGATGAGAACCTGTGCTGTATTCTGAATTGGATTACCTGTTACAGAGCCAATGACTGAGTTTCAAAGAACCAAACTTGGAGTGTGAGGGTGATAAGATACATGTGCAATCTGATTCCAGGTTTTAGATTATCTAGAGAGGAGTAAGGCATTACTGGCATTCACATATAAAATCTCTGTGTAATATCACCAGAGATTGCTCTTCAGTAGCTCTCTGCTTGTTTGGTTACAGAAGTATCAAAACATGTGCTTTTATGCTTCTTTCCTACCTCCTGATAGCCAAAGCCTTTGTTGTCCCCCTGCTCCCCAAGCTAGGCAGGTACAGTAAAGTCCCTCAGCCTGTCCTCTCCAGGGCAGCTTGCACCACTCCTCCACAGCACTTTCCAAGCCCTGTAAGCACTCTTGGTACTCACAGCCATGTCACTGGGCTTTAAAATGCTGTCTGTGTTCATTGGTGTGGCTGGAGCTTAGTAAAACATGGCAAGTTGGACTTCTTTTTTTTTTTTGAGACGGAGTTTCACTCATGTTACCCAGGCTGGAGTGCAATGACGCGACCTTGGCTCACCGCAACCTTCGCCTCCTGGGTTCAGGCAATTCTCCTGCCTCAGCCTCCTGAGTAGCTAGGATTACAGGCACGCACCACCATGCCCAGCTAATTTTTTTGTATTTTTAGTAGAGACGGGGTTTCACCATGTTGACCAGGATGGTCTCGATCTCTTGACCTCGTGATCCACCCTCCTCGGCCTCCCAAAGTGCTGGGATTACAGGCTTGAGCCACCGCGCCCGGCCTGTTGGACTTCTTAAGATGGCCCAGAGTGATATGAATTTCACTAGTCAATAATGGGTAAATAAGCTATCTGGAAATAGTCTCCCAGTTGAATTTAACACCCTTTGTGACTATACTTTTAGTAATCTTTGTTAGCTAATTACCTCTTGGCTTTGTCAAGTATTTATTGAGTGCCCACTTTGTGTGTGGGCACTGTGTTAAGCATTTAATATAGTGCTTAGAAACAGTGAGTAGAAAACGCATGTGGCCCCTGCCCTCATGGGGCATTTAATTCACACCCCCCGACAAATTTTTAATGGCATTTTTTAAAACATTGCATAAAGTCAGATATATATTGTATATACATGCCAAAAAGTAAGCTGGAGGTATTTGGCAAAGAACTATGAATGCAAACAATAGCAAATAGACAAAAATATTAAATGAATGAGTACATTACCTGGAAAAATACTACTGGAATCATTTTCTCAAACAACTTGTCCTTACTATGATCTGGAAAATCTAGCTTACTACAATAGAAAGAATGCAGTAGTTGGAGTCAGAACTGATTTCCAGTCCCAGCTCAATCAGTTACTAACTATTGATGTTGGGCAATGATATGGTTTTGCCCTGTGTCCCCACCCAAATCTCACCTTGAATTCTAGTAATCCCTATGAGTCAAGGGCAGGACCAGGTAAAGATAATTGAATCATGGCGGTGGTTCACCTCATGCTGTTCTCTTGGTAGTGAGTGCATTCTCATGAGATCTGATGGTTTTATTATTTAAGGGGCTTCTGCCTTCACTCAGCACTTCTCCTTCCTGCTGCTGTGTGAAGTAGAATGTGTTTGCTTCCCCTTCCACCATGATTGTAAGTTTCCTGAAGTCTCCCAAGCCATGCTGAACTGTGAGTCAGTTAAACCTCCTTCCTTTTACCCAGTCTCGGGTATGTCTATTAGCAGAGTGAGAACAGACTAATACAGGCAAGTAATTATTTTGGTCACAGATAGCACTGTAAAATTTATCCCTTTAAGATTCTGTGTTTTCTGTTATACGTAGGGTTCTATATTTTCACACGGATTTGTCTTTTAATCCTATTTTTCATGGTTCTGATTTAATTTACTTTTAATTTTCTACTTTGCTTCATTTGTTAGTTTAACAAAAAGTTATTGAGTAGTCCATTTATGTGTTTACTCTTATGTATTGCCTCAAATCCTAGATGGAATGATGCTGAGTATAAATAACTTTTTTAAAGAGGGAGTGTATTTGAGAAGTGTCTGAAAGCTGTAAAACCTCTAAAATAGATTATTTGCTTTATAAGAGCTACAGCTTGAGACTTTGAGGGATCCTCAAGTTCACAGGCTTGGAAAATTTTTGCAAACTGGTCACGTTCATGCCACCAGCACATAGCTCAAGAAACAGAACATGATTCTTACCTCAGAACTCCCCTTTGAAAATCCTACCACTGCCTCACCCCACCCTTCCCCATATTCCACCATCTTAACCACTATCTTGACTTCTAATAGCATAGGTTGCCTATACCAGAAATTTGAAGTTATATATATAAGCAGAGTCATAGGGTAAGTATAGTAGTGTACTTTTTTCTTTTTCTTTTTTTCTTAGTTGTGGATAATATACCCAACACAAAATTTTCATTTCAACCATTTTTAAGCATACAATTCTGCGCATTAAGTACATTCACATAGTTGTGCAACTATCACTGCCATGCATCTCTAGAGCTTTTTCATCTTTCCCAACTGAAACTGTTTCCATCAAACACTAACTTCCCACTCCCCCTTCCCCTAGCCTCTGACAATAGCCATTCCACTTTCTGTCTCTATGAACTTAACTCCTCTAGAGTAGCTAAATAGAGTAGTAGCTACCTAGAGTAGCCTCATACAATATTCGTCTTTTTGTGTCTGGCTTATTTCACTTAGCATAATGTCTTTATAGTTCATCCATGTTGTAATATGTGTCAGAACTTCTCTTCTTTTTAAGGCTGAATACAATTCTATTGTATGGATAATACCACATTTTGCTCATCTATTCATCTGTCAATTGACGCCTGGCTTGCTTCCACTTTTGGCTATTGTGACTCATACTGCTGTGAAAATGGGTATATACATGTCTGAGTTCCTGTCTTCATTTCTTTGGTAATATACCCAGAAGTGGAATTGCCAGATCATATGGTAATTCTGTGTTTAAGTTTCTGAGAAGCTGCCATACCATTTTCTGCATTGGCTGCACCATTTTACATTTCCGCAGTTATACTTCCTTTTACTCAACATTATGCTCAACATTATGTTTGCAAGGTTCATCCACATTACTGCATGCAGTTGTGGGTCATTTAGTCTCATTGCTGCGTAGCGTTCCATCATGTGAATGTGCCATAACGTACTTAGCCATTTTACTATTGATAAGCATTTGGGTAATTTTCAGTTTTTGGTTATTACACGCAGTGCTACTATTAGAGGGCATTTTAAAATTGGGCCTTAAGTTTCTGTAGCTTTGTGATTTTTTTATGGAAACGAAAACATTAAATTGAAGACATTCTTTGAACAACAACTCATAATGCTTTCTGACTGTATCACTTGGTAATTTAAATTTCGTCAAGTGATGGAATAGCTAATGCATGTTATCCTAAGAGAAGGGGACTTGCTTATCACGTGACTGGAAAGTTGAGGTGTCCAGCTTCCAGCAACACTGACCTTATTCCTGCCTCCTGGTCACATCAGTCCAACCTCTGCTTTTGTCACATCTCCTTCTCTAACTCTGTCTCTTGTATCCCTCTTTTCTGTTACAGGAAATCATTATTACATTAGGTCCACACAGATAATACAGAATAGTCTTCTCATCTCAAGACCCTTAATCATATCAGCAAAGCCCCTTTTGTCATGTAAAATAATATATTCACAGGTTCTTGGGATTGCTACATCTTTAGAGAGCTATTTTGCCTCCTATGATGTGTGTGTGGGGTGTGTGTGTGTGTGTGTGTGTGTGTGTGTGTGTGTGTGTATGTATTTTTTCCCACTGATGAGCCAATGATAATGTTCCTCTCCTTTATAACTTTGTGTTTTTTTTTGGAGTTAGTAATTGGGGTGTTTCTCTTCTTTTTCGATCATATGTAGCTGTCCTGAATCCTTTCCACACTCTTCAATAGAACTATGAAACTCTTGTTTGCACTTTCCATGTTATCAAACATATCAGATCACCTATAAGTTTGTTTTTTCTCAAAATCTTTTCCTGGGCCCTCCATTGTTTCTTTTCCAAGCTGGATGATGTGCTCTCTAGATCTGCTGCATGGCGACAGTTTTTGGTGATTTCCCTTCACCCTCATTAACATCATGGTAATTCCCTTCACCCCTCTCCATGTACTGCCCTTTCTTTGATCTCATGCGTTTCTCTTAAATGGTTTATTTCATTGTTCATGTGGAGCATGTCCTGCAGGAGCTTCTTGAGAAGAAGTGTACAAGTGGCAAACTTGACACCTTAAATGACAGTGATGAACCCTCTCTGACTGGGGAGAAAGGGGCCCATGTTGTTGGGGGAAGGAAGAGAAGCAGCAGAGAATGGTGAGAGAGAGACAGATGAGGAAGAGAGGAAGATGTTTCCACCCTGGTGTTTTCTCATAATGCCTCTGTAGGACAGAGTCACGTCTTAGTCATTTTGCTTCTCTCATGTCTCACCCAGAGTGAACACTTAAGATGTGTTCTTCAATGAATGAACACATACAGATAGCCTCAGATTTCCTGCTCTTTGAAGTGGTAGAGAGTCCTCAAAAACCATTAGCCAGCTTCTTATAAAGACCTGCTCAGAAACTGAACTCCAGTTATTAAAAGATACCACCAAACTCAAACCTGTTTTTTACCTCCTCATCATATAGAACATAAATCTGACCCCCCCATTAACTTTTATTCTACTCTTCCTGCTTCACCAGATGATACAATCCTGGGTACCCTAACTTATGTATGGTTCATCTTTGCATCCCTGATAATGTCATGAATTGTATAATGCTCAGTAAAGATTTGTTCAATGACTCTTCATCGCACACACGGCCTTTCTGGTGTGCACCGATTGAGCTGGCCTTGTTCCAGCATCAGAGACTTTGCAGTTGCTGCTCCCTCTGCCTGCAGCACTCTTTCCCCGACTCTGGCAATTTTCATCCTGCAGATGAAGCTTGCCCATCATGTCATCTTCCCAGTCTGATCTAAAGATACTGTGTGTTAACTGCCCATCATCCTGTGATGTGAGTACCTGTCATTATCAGAAATGACCTTATGTGTGTCTTTATTTATTTTCCCTGATAAATGGAGACTCAATAGATGTGCCTTTCTGTCTCATCCACTGCTGTATCTCCACACCTAGAACAGGGGCTGCTGAATAATAATGTATTAAATGAATGATATGAGCTGTTGAGAGAATGACAATGTTAATAGCTTCATCTAAACTTTACTGGATTATGTGAGTGGTTAGAGAGTACATACACACTCACCTTCTTTGAAAGTTTTCCTCAACTGTGCACACCTTTTAAGAATATAGAAATAGGCCGGGCATGGTGTCTCACACCTGTAATCCCAGGACTTTGGGAGGCCAAGGTGGATGGATCACGAAGTCAAGAGATGAGAACATCCTGGCCAACATGGTGGAATGCTGTCTCTACTAAAAATACAAAAAGTAGCTGTGTATGGTGACAATTGCCTGTAGTCCCAGCCACTCGGGACGCCGAAGCAACAGAATTGCTTGAACCTGGGAGGCAGAGGTTGCAGTAAGCTGAGATCGCGCCACTGCACTCCAGCCTAGCGACAGAGTAAGACTCTGTCTCAAAAAAAAAAAAAAAAAAAGAAATGGAAAAAGAATATAGAAATAATTGAACATTCAGGGAATGCACTTGTCCTAAGATTTTGTGTATTCCTTATGAGTGCCTTGGATTTAGAAAGGAAAAAGGTGAGAAAATATTGCATTGGGGAGATTTGTCCCTTGACTTTCATCTGAGAAGCCAAAACTCTTATGTTAAACTCCTGTATGCCCAGGTGCCTCAGACACATGCAACTGGCTTTATTCTTGAGCCAGCCTATTTAACTATGGCCTCAAAATAAGCAGTGATGAAGCTTATTTTGTATGCAGTTTGGGTCATATTGCTTTTAAAAATTCCGAATCTAGGTTACTGTTCCTGAATGGCATGGAGACCCTGATAATTAGGTTTCTGTGACTTAGAGACAGTTCTGAGGCTCTGTCTATAAAAAGCCATTCCTCCTGAAAACAGGACAGAAGTATATACATACAGGGAAGTAATATTCCCAGAGAAGAAATGTGGCATGAGAAGCAAAACAGTTACAGTGTTCCTCCCTCACCCCATTTGCGTACAATGAAATCAGCATTGACGTGTTAAAATGAGTCAGTGATGCTGAGGGTCCTGCAGACATTGACCCTTGTCTCTAGAGCAAGGTTTGTAGAATAGCAGTTTTGATTTGAATAATTCTATGTTGTGGGGCAGTATCTGTATACTGTAGGATGTTTAGCAGTATCCGTGGCCTCTGTTCGCTAGATGCCAATTGCAGCAACCCCCTCATTCCCTGCTGTAAAGAGTAAAACCTAAGATGTCTTCAGACATTGCAAAACCTGGTTGAGAACCACTACTCTAGAGAATGCATAGAAGGATCTAGCCTTAAACCATGCCTCTGGGTTTGTTTAAAAACCATATTTCCACCGTGAATGCAGCAGCAGTGGTAGAGAAGACTCCTTAACTTCCACCTTGTCATACGTATGTCTTCTCAGTCATACCAGAGTACTGTGGTTTAAACCAGTGTCTTCCCCACCCACCCACCTCTACCAGAAATATATCACACTACTCTAGTGTAACCTTAGGCTCTTCTTTTGTAGACACGTGTGTACAGCTAGTTCACGATATATGCCTTCCAGCCAGCAGAGGTCTTTTCTGGGTCTTCATGTGGTATCTGAACGTGTCCCAATTCTCCAGCTTCTTAAGACCACTCTTTGAGGTCATTGCTTTGACACTGTTTAATTATTTAACACTGTGGTAAGCTACAATTATATAAAAAATGAAAAATTTCTTGAATTGGTGGTTTCTCCAGTATAGAGAGGGTCATTCATACATTTCAGCACATATTTATTGAATACTTATGTGGGCTGCTCTTGGCACTAGCAATAAATGGCTATAAACAATATACAACACACTTGCCTTCTAGGAGCCTACACTCTGATAGGGGAAGACAGACAATAAATAAGTATAACATATGTTAGGTGAAAAATACACCAAGATGAGAAGAAAGGCTGGGCATGGGACTCATGCCTGTAATCCCAGCACTTTGGGAGGGTGAGGCAGGAGGATCACATGAGCCCAGGAGTTCAAGACAAGCTTGAACAAGCTTGGCCAACATGGTGAAACCCCATCTCTACTGAAAACACAAAAATTAGCAGGATGTGATGGCACATGCCTGTAGTCCCAGCTACTAGGTAGGCTGAGGCAGAAGATCGCTTGAACCCCAAAGACAGAGGTTGCAGTGAGCTGAGATCATGCCACTGCACTCCAGCCTGGGAGACAGAGCAAGGCTCTGCCTCAAAAAAAAAAAAAAAAAGGAGAGAGGCCAGATGTGGTGGCTTATGCCTGTAATCCCAGCACTTTGGGAGGCTGAAGTTGGTGGATCACTCAAGTCCGGGAGTCTGAGACCAGCCTGGACAATATGGTTGAAACCTGTCTCTACAAAAAATACACACACAAAAATTAACTGGGCATAGTGGCATGTGTCTATTGTCCCAGCTGCTTAGGAGGCTGAGGTGAGAGGATTGTTTGAACCCAGGAGGTGGAGGCAGAGGTTGCAGCGACCCATAATTGCGCCATTGAACTCCAGCCTGGGCAACGGAGTGAAACCCTGCCTTAAAAAAAAAAAAAAAAAGAGATGAGGAGAAGGAACACTGGATGGGAAGTCTTGTGTTTTTAAATAGGGTCAAGCAAGAGGTAAAGAAAGTTCAGGAGCAGGATGTTTGGACATCTCAGGGTAAAAGAGTTCTAGGCAGTGGGAATGGTAAGTGCAAAGGGGAAGAGGCAGGGCTGTGCTTGGTATATGTGAAGGATAGTGAGGAGTGTCGGGGAGGGAGCTGTAGAAGAGGGGGTGTGGATGTGTGCTGTGGACATAGCATATGGAGCTTTGGAGGCCTGGTAAGACTCTTCTTCCATTTTTTATCAGACAAAATTTCAAACATACACTGAAGTGCAGAGAATAGTATAACGAATCCCTTATTTGCCTATTACCCAAGCTTAATAAATAGTAACCAAAGCCAATTTAATTTTATATATGGTTACTCCCCCTACCCAGATTGTTTTGAAGCAAACTCTACATGTATTATTTCATCTGTAAATATTTTTGTATGTATCTATAAAAGATAGGGAATTAAAGGTGATCATGATTCAATATCACACTTTAAAATGATTGGCCAGTTATAGCAGATAATATCCAAACTGTGTGTATATATATATATATGCACACACATATGTATCAATATATATTTCAGGCTGAAGTGTGTACATATGTAATAAGCTGATTTTCTAAATGCCTGATTATGTGTGTGTTTGTTTATAGTTTGATTAGTTTGATATCAAGATCCATTAAAAAATTCATATATTACAATTAGCTGATATGTCTCTTAAGGGTTTGTTGTTGTTGTTTTTGTTGTTGTTTTTGGTAGAGACAGGGTCTTGCTATGTTGCCCATACTGGTCTAGAACTCCTGGGCTCACGTCATCCTTCCACCTCAGCCCCCCAAAGTGCTGGAATTACAGGCATGAGCCACTGTGCCTGGTCTTTTTTCAAACTTTGGGTTCCCCTTCCATCTCTTTTTCTCCCCATTAAATTTTTGAAGAAACCAGGTCATTTGTTCTGACTTTCATATCTGGCTTTTGCTGATCACACCTCTGTGATACTGTTTTAACATATTCCCTTGTCTCTATCCTGTAACTTGATATTTTGATGTAGAGGCTTGGTTGTATCCAGTAGTGCTAGAGTCTTCTTGGTAAGATTACATCATTTGTGTTGCCTTGAGGTGCTCATGGTGTCTGAGATTTCTCTCTTTGTGATGTCAGCAGTCATTGATGATCTTGGCTTAGATTCCCTCGTTCTTTAGAGCCTGAAAAATTGTGACATTTATGACTGCAGTTCCTTCTTTATTTACCAGTTGGAGTGAACGATTTCACCATCCATGAGGTGTAACTCGCAGGGGAACCAGAGATGTGCTTGATTCTTTCCCTTTATCAGTTTGCAAGATTACTGTGGTAGTTCTCTAGCATCCTCTCAAAGTGATGTGACTTTCTCTTCTCTTCTTGAACTCATGACTTTAAACATTTGATATGTTGTGACACATTACCATTGTCATTCCTATTGATGCTTGGTTATCCCATTTAGGGCCAAATGTGCTAAATTTGTGGCTTTTACTCATAGGGAAGCTGTTGGAGGGTTTTGAACAAAAGAGTGACATATTCTGAAAGAGATCACTCTGGAATTTATGTGGTCACCAAAGTATGGAGGATACCAAGGAGGAAGTAGAGAGACCAGTTAGGAGGAATAATCTGGCCAAGACACAATGTATTTAGGATCAGGGTGGTTTAGATGGAAATAATGGTGGCATTCTGGATATTTTACATTGGAAGGAAGCTTCTTTTGGGGTTTGGAGGGTAGGATGATGAGTTTGCTTTGGATATGTTAAATTAGGGGTAGTAGAAGGAAATTGAAGTGAAAATGTATTGTAGTCAATTGGCTATATGGACCTGAAGTTGACTTCAGAAGATCTGTGTGTAGAAGACTATTGAATAATATTCTAGTGTGTTTCCTGAGATGAGGGTCGACCTTAAAATGTTAAAGAATTTGGGAATTTAGCTTTATTTTTTGGCATAGGGTGGTTACTGATTTTTTTCTTTTCTTTATTTATCATTGTCTGGCTTCTGACACTCAGGCTTTCAAACTTTCCCTGACCAACTTTCCTAAGAAAAGTTGATTCCTCTTTGTTGTGTTCTATTATATCTTGTTTGTTTATTTGAGATGAACTCTTGCTGTGTTGCCCAGGCTGGTCTCAAAACTCCTGGACTCAAGCAATCTTCTTGTTTCAACATTCTGGGTAGCTGGGATCTATTATATCTTTAGTTTCCTTTTGTGATAAATTACAAAAACTTTTTACATTTCTATCTGCCTCTTGGTGGAGTCAATGACTTTATTTCAAGTATGGATTTGTTACCTCTAAAGGGTAGAAGGATTGGTTGGTTCTGTGAGCTCACAGTGAGAGATAATGGTACCTAGTTAACATTAACAGATGCCCCAGAGCAAGTTGATAGGTAAGGATGTAGGATAGAGAAGAGTTCTGAGAGCATCCTATAAACCTCCACTGGCTCACAGGCACCTTTGTAGAGTTAGAAACAGGTAGCCCTCCAGAAGCTCACAGAGCTGAGGGAGACTTGGTGAAAATGAGAAAAATGAGGTGAAGCAACTCAGAGCCAGGCACAGGCATAAAAACATGGAGAGCAGACTGGATGTCATTTCCCACTTCCCTCCTTGCCCTGGGCACAGCCTGAACAACTGCCGGTGGCATCCCTGCCTAGACAGGCCTCTGGGATAAGAGTAAACACACTGGGATCTAATCCTAGCATAGCCGCCGACTGTGTGCCCTCAGTTTCTTCATCTGCAAAAAAATGGAGTTTGGCTTCATAGCCTTTGAAATGTAACTGCTTGATTATACTTGCTATTTCACCGCAGTTTGGCTGTGTGTCTCTCTCTTTGTGTGTGTGTGTGTGTGTGTGTGTGTGTGTGTGTGTGTGTGTGTGTGTGAGAGAGAGAGAGAGAGAGAGAGAGAGAGATGCCTTGTAGTACTTGAAAATTAGAATTCTTGATAAAATAAAGCTCTAATTAGTTCTAGTGTTTCTTCTCAACAGACCAGGGGTTGCCAAGTTTTAAAACACTTTAAAATGCATTAGAGGAAGTGAGTCAGTTATGTTCTTCATACGCGACAATGGAAGTACACTTAGTGCCAAGTTATGAATGCTGTGAAAAATTAGGTTTTGAATAAATACAAGGTGAAACTTTCAGGTTTTGAAAGCACATGTTCTCTTTTTCCCTCCTTATTCATATTAGATCGCTTTTGTAAAGTATACAGCACTGAGGTCTTAAAAATGAGCTTTTCAAAAATAAAAATCCAAATGCCTATCTCTTGCGTTTCCAGTTGGTAGTTTCCTATGATAGGGTTTGCCTGTTCACACAAGTCTTTGCCACACAACAGAGTCTGGCTTCCCCCAAATTAATGCAGTTAGTTTATTCCTCTTTCTGATGATTGCCATATATAGAGAAAGATCTAATTATTTGTATGTGGCACTATTCCTCATTTCTTTCTTGGGGACTATGAGTGATTTAGTTAACTCCACCAAGGGAAGTGTAAGACGAGCCTCCTCAGGGTGGCTGAATTCTATTCGAGAGCATCACAGGGAGGTGGGGAGTAGCTGACGTGTGCTGAGATAAACTCTTTTACAAGTATGACACTGTTGCTTTATTTTTTTGCCCCAGTCTGCAGGGGCAAAAGGACTTTTCATTTCACTGAGGTGAAAAGTGGGTCTGTGAGTGGAGCGACTTTCTTTAAAAAAAAAAAAAAATCAAAAACCAATTACTTGATATGCAGAGCTGCAAGCCTCGTTCCTCTAACAAAATCAGTGCAGTGTGCACTGCCGTTAACCTGAGGAAAGCAGCTGACATCTCTTGATTACAGCTAGAGGTGGAAGGACCCAAACTTGCAGCCTCCCCCTCCCCCTCGAGAGAGTGTTAGTCCAGTCCTTTAGAGAGGTTCGGTTTGGCTCTCTGTCATCACCGGGACGCTAGCAGGGAGTGTGTGTCATGGTTACAATAGAGTGTGCTAACATATAACAAGCATGAAAGCCCAGCGGGAAAGGCTACAGATTCCGGGGCTGACCTTGGAGTAAGTATTGTCTGTCTTTAATATTTTAATGCTTTCTGCATGGCACTCGCTTTCCGGCGACCAATAGCTATTTAGCATTTGTTTGTACTGACAGCCTCAGAGCACTGCAGTGTGAGGTGGAAGAACATGTCTTAAAATGCATGGGATTTGGTTTCAGCAAATGTGGACACCCAGACCAGCATTTTGCATTGCAGTCAGAGGAAAAGCATTGCTGCATATTTAAAGTTACTAAACCCCAGTTCTGGAAACATCTTAACAGCTCATTGTGAAAGAATGTATCAGTAGGCCATGGTGTATCTGTCTTTTTCTCCTTCTCTCTTACTGTTTATCCCCATGTTTCCTTTTTCTAAAGAAAGGCCTCTGTCTGCATTGAATAATAGAAGACATTACAATGGATTAGAGTCCGAGAGAAGGGTTATTTGTGACATTCATTAGATGTGATCCATGTTTTATCTGTGCAACAGAATATTAATGAACTGTGGTACATTTAGAATCCTCTCGCAGAATCTCCAGCCACTGCATGCAGTGTGTTTACCTAGTTGAGCTGTGTGTTTGCTTAGCTGTTTTTTTCTTTAACCCATTAACTCATCTGACTGTCTTCTGATGTGATGTAGCTGCATGAACATGTCCACATCTAATCTGTGGCGCAGAAGTTAGACATCTGTGATGCAGGAAGTGTCAGCAAATTTTTATTTTAAATCTGTTAGTCAAAAATGCAGAAGCTGTGAGTTAGTCTGTGCTGGCACACTTAAAATAATAAACAGTAAAATATAAATCCGGTAGAAAAATATAAATATCACTCTTTCTAACTTACAGCACAGATAGAAAATTACATTTTAGTGAAATCTGTACAGTGCCAATAATCTCATACTGGACTGCCTCCAGAAAGAGACTGCAGGACTGTGCTCAGTTCTGAGGATTAATTATTCCTCTTGAATTCTGTAGATGCATCATACAAGAGAAATTATTTCCTTAATTAATAAAAACATGACATTCTGAAGTGAATACTTTTCTAATCAGTCCTTGCTCTAAAATTGTGCCCTGATTTTATACTAATGCAGAGCTCACTTACAAAAAGTTAGAGGGCTCTTACAACCTTCTTGCTAGATGTGACATTTTTCATATTAGAGGTATGAATATTATTTACCCATTGCCCTAATATTTCTCCCATCTCCACCCCCACCCTAGCATTCAACTCTCACCATCTGTGTGGAATATTTTAGCGGCATGCACTCATTCTTCTACTTAACCCTCCTCTCTCTAGCGTTCTGGAAATGCACAACTAAGCCATAGCTCTATCTTTAAAACCCAGGAGCATTAACTTCCAGCTTTGCTTTTGCCTCTATTTTTTGTTGTGCTGTTTCCTGGTTGTTTTCTTTGGACTTAGCAGATATCATTTCACTTTAGGCTTTTTCTTTCTTTCCTCTTCTTCCTTTACTTTCTTTCCCTTTCTTTCTTTTTTCAATCTTGTCTACATTAAGAGG